TTTTAGGATCTAGAGCTTCTTTCTCATTATGTAACATGAGGTTGGACTGTTGAGCAAGGAATAAATCACTTTGTCTTCGAGACCATAAGACCTTCTCACTGAAAAGGTAAAAAGAGTTATACTGATTGATACAAAACTAGTTAAGCTCAGTAATTATTAAAAAGTAATCTGAAGTCAATTTAAAATAAAATGAAATCAAATAGAAGTCTCATATAAATAGAGTCTTAATTACTTAAAATTAATGAATAAGTTTTCATTTTATGAACTTTTCAAACAAAATGCATAATTTGCAATAGTGTAGTTCTAAATTATTTAATTCAGAAATACCTTAATCGTTCTTCAGTATTTGGAATATTGTAGTCTTCTTCAACATCCATATCATCTTGTTGCACATTCAATTGACTTTGATTACGTTCAATATAAGACTCAAAAGCTCTTTTGAGTTCTATGACTTTGTGAAAACTCATTCGATCTAGTGCTAAAATAATCCTTCGCATATACAATCCTGAAAAATATCATTAAATATATAAAGTGGACATCAGAAATAAAACATTTAAGATAAATCAATAAAAATGTATATTAATTGTTATAAATCATGATTAAAATTCTAACTGATCAAATGTAAATGTATGTCAAATGTAATGTAATACAACATTAAGATACAAAATTGAACTCGTATTAAAAAATCTGCTCACTCTCAATAACAAGAGTAATATGAACTATAAATTGAAAACAAAGTTTATTAATTACTGTAAAAGCATTGTGTAAATCAATTCTAGCATGAAAGCATATAATTTACTATTTTTATCTATATGTTAAAATATTTCAAGACAGTTAATGTTCCATATAAGAAAATAAGAATTATTATTTGTTCATACTCATATATAAGTGCTTTTATTTTTATATACTTAGATTTAAAATATTAATATTATTGGAAAGGCAATATTCTAGTTTTTAATTTCAGAATTTGGTGCAATTAATTTAAAAAATCTTAATTATAAATTTTAATCTTCACAATAATTTAAAAAAATAAACTTTATTTGTAGAAAAAACTAAAATACACAGAATAAACTATTTAAGTTTACATATAACTATAATTTAAGTTTAAGTATACACAACCATCAAACGAGACAAAACCGAAATTTTCACATGAAACATGCAAAAACTAGTAGAGGACTTGCAAGTCCTCGAAGAAGTGCAAGCAGCCTTTACAATAAACTACCAGACAAACTAAAGACAATGACTGACCTAAACAATTTCAAAATTAAATTGAAAAATTACATAAGAGATAAATGAAATAAATGAGATCAAATTCCTTATTTTAAATACTATATTTCTTCTGTTCTGTTAAAATATTAATTACAATTAAGTATAAGTACATATGTATGTACGCAAGCATTCTGTGTATATATGTGTATATAATAGTAATAAGTAAAAATATATAGATGGCTTAATGTAAGTCTGTTACATAAAATTTAGATTTATTTTTGTTATAATTGCTGTAATCTCTCATACCAGAACAATTGTCTGACTGAAATACAGTATGAATGAATTATATCAAATAAATAAATAAAAAAAAAAAATAAATAAATAAAGTTTACATGTAGTAAAAATCCCTTAGTCCGACGAGACAAAAAACTGTGACAAAAAAATAAAAATTTGATAATTTCTAGTTATTTCTAGTATTTCAAACCACCCCATAAAAGTTCTAATAGCCCTCGAGCCTTTTTATTTGCTATGAAGGCAAGTTTTTGAAGAGAAATTAATTTTTTAGAGAAATGCCAGACTATCGAACATTCCGGACTGGTGGGTGCCAGACTAGACTACTAGGCCTTCTACTGTATTAAATTCAAAGAATGCTTACCTAAACAGCTGCTTTTATTTATAATACATGTTGCAGTACTATTTAAAGGATCCACTATTAACTTATCAAGCATTAAACTAATATCCAATAATTTTTCCACATTACATGTGTAAATCTTCATTATTTCCTTATGAAAAAGTTTTATGTGATCCGGATGTAAATTGTTTTTACTAGCAGTCAGTAAAGAGCAGAAATCTCTGAACACCATATCAGGACACTGCAATTATAAATATACACAATTACTATGTATCTGAATTGACAATCATTGAACATAATTTTAAAATACTGTAAAGAATCACTACATACTTGAATTAATTTAAGAATAAGCATATTGAACGCTCTTCTGCATTTTGGGCTTAAAGGTTGATCTGCATTTGCTAAAAAATATTATGGCATTAGATGTTTTTCAATTAGATAAATATATTAATGCTTACTTTGTATTAAATTACAATACTCTCTTATAAATATTAGCACCGCTATTTTATGTGGGGTGATATTTTCATAGCATTTTCTCTTTGTGTCAACTCCATCATTACTGTCTTTTGCGGAATTCATAATGAAGAATATCCAATGATAACCTAAGTAATTAACAGTGATATAAACAAATGTATTATAACCATTTATACTTGTTTATTTATCCTTATAACATATAAACAGAACTTGCAGAAACAAACCAAAGCAAACTGACAAGCAACGTATCTCATAATATGACCGGCATGTCAACTGTCAACTAACATAAAATTTAAGGCTAGGCACACATAGTCAGCTAAAAGTCGGATCTGAAAAAAATTCTCGTGGCTTTTAATTCTTAATTAATATCGATATTTGCATATCCCAACCTCCTATCTTTTCTAATATGCAATGGTTTTTGATGCATAATATATATATTTCTTTATATTAGGTTGTCAAATATCTCCCTTCCGCTTTTTTGCTCTTGGTTTATAATACAAAAAGGCGGAAGGGAGATATTTGACAATCTTATAAATAGATGTTTTCAAATTTTTATCAACTTCCTACAGGAGAAGTTTATGCTTTCGGCAGAGAAGCTGATGATTTGCCAATTTTATAGTTTTTGACGTTTTAAGTCATTCTGAATGGTTTAACACCAAAATTGAAATAAGGAAGAAGGGAAAGGAGTGTGTGCATGGTGTGAGTCAAAATTCTACTTTTCGTCGACGCTGATATCTAAAATTATAAATCCATTTGATAAAACTCGATAAGAACTCACGATTCCAGTTTTATGCTGAAGCGTTGTATAATAAACAAGCTTTATTTATCGTTATCTTTATACTTATCAGCAATCATTATATTAAAGTTGCATAAAGAAATCTTTGAATAGTTTCTGTATTAGTATTTTTTAAACATGAGTAACTAAAAACTGAAAAACTTTTAATTTTTGCCAATTGTAGCTCAAACTTATCTATCGTTTTAATCCAGTTTTTATTCGAACTTCCCGATATGTTTAAATAATCGACTTAATCAATAAAAAATAAATTAATTTATGAGCAGTTAAAAGTATTCCGAATGGATTTATTACACATAATTGAAAACGAACGAACACTTTGACTCGGAGTATTTTCTATAAGCATATTTTCAAAAATCAATAATTTTTATAATTGAACCAGTTTCCAGGACTTTAATGGTTTATTATGTTTAAGACCAAGTACTCTATCATTATACCAAGAAAATAGTCTAATTTTAATTTTAACAAATGTCAAAAGAACAACTCATTTTCTCAAATTTTGATGAATTTTTAAAATCAAACTATTTGTCGTAAGGCCGTAATATTTCAGTAAGTTTTATAAGACCATGGTATATATTGCTACAAAAAAATCCATAAAAATCGGCTTAAATTTTTTTTTTTCAACAGTTAATTACAAAAAAAACGGCTCGGTAGTACTCGGTATAATCAGTACCATTCCCAACTAATATCTTTCGAACAGTTTTTGATTTTTTAAAATCGGTTCGGTAGGATGAGCTTAAATGTGGACGAAAGATTTGACACTTTTTTTCATATTGCAAAGAAACGGCTTGGTAGATCGTCACACAAAACTGACAAACGATAGTCCTCACCGAAATACATCAAATGGCTTTTAAATTTCTAAAATCGGTTCAGGCGTTTTTGAGAAAACGTCGATCAAAGATCTAATTTTGATAAATGCCAACAAAACGATACCAATTTTGGCAAACTTGGACGAATTTTTAAAGCTGAACCAGTTGTCGTAGGGCCGTAATATTTTAGTATGATCTAGAAGACTATGGTATCTACCGTCAAAAAAAGAATCATAAAAATCGTCGAATTTTTATTTTAAAAACTTTATTACAAGAAAACGGCCCGGCCGATCTCTACCAAAAACTAATTAGGTCGATTCCCAACCAATATCTTTCGGACGGTTTTTGAATTTTCAAAATCGATTCAGAATTGCGGGCTAAAACGTGGACAAAAAACTTTTCACTTCTCTGCTATTTACAAAGAAACGGCTTAGCCGATCGTCGCACAAAAGTGACAAACAATAGTCCTCATTGAGATACATCAAATGGCTTTTAAATTTTTGAAATCGGTCCAGCCGTTTTTGAAAAAACGGCGATTTACGGCAAAAAATCTATTAAATAATCTACACGCACACACACACACATACTTTTTCCAAATTTGGTCTCATTCGATTCAGAATGGCTTGAAACGTCGAGAAAACATAAAATTAGCGAATCGGATTTTTTGATGAAAACATAAACCAACATAAACTTCTTCGTTAAGTTAATAAGCATTGTTTCCTGAGAATTGTAGTCGCGTCATCTATTGATTTCTTTGTCTGCAGCTGAAGCAGGGACATAAACCTCCCAAAGTGTCAAATACAATGCAAAGCAAAAGTTTATTTGTTAGACAAAACAATTTCAATGAGTGACTGTTTGTGAAAATATTTAAACTCAGAAATCGTTTTCTGTAGTGTTTTTTACATTGCACTCACAATGCGTTCAATAAATATTAATTGCTATAACGTTATATTTTCATTTAATTAGAATTATCAATTATTTTGCTTTCTAAAAATATCTAGAATTCATTTGTCATTTATCATGCGTATATAGCATTTTAAATTTATTTCTAGTGATTTAGCACATAATTTTTTTTCAAATTTATTTTTTGTGTTCAATTTGCTTCAAAATATGGCTGAACCATCAAAATTATCAATAAAACGCGTTGAAGTATCTTTAATTAAATTTAATGATGTTATTGTTCCCCATCATGTTGATATATTAAATAAACACAAAGATAATATATTGAAGTATAATGCTATCGGAGATAATGAAAAAGTTAAGAAGGAACAAGTTAATGCTTCTCGAGTAATCAAGCAACTTAAACAAACCCTGTATGAAATTGAAATGATTAAAGAGCAAGTAACAGAAAGTGATCATGCAAAATTTGATAAAAGCACGGAGAAGTCGATTCAAAGTGCTAAAGCAGCAATAAATGAATATTATGGTAAATACTTTATAGTTAGATTATTTTAATTTTTACTTTAAAATGTTTCTAGTATCAATGAAATTATATATTGAATACAAAATAATTATCAAAGCCAAATTAGCAGGGTTTTGAAATGATTATTTCCGTAATTAAATGAGAATGAAAACAATCAAGTCAACATAATTATGATTAAAAAAAGTATTTGAAGTGATTAATAGTGTTTAAAATACAAATATAATGTACAAATATGATTTTCTTAGGATTGTAAAAGACTGCTTTATATCTATTAGCAGTCAAGAAGTAACATGAATGGACATATAGGTGAAAGTTTGTATAAATTAAAGTAAAAAGGAATGTTAGGAACTCTATATTTAAATAAATAAATATATATATATATATATATATATATATATATATAAGTCTATTCTTAGTTTATTATTATTATTAAAAATAGCACTGCAATTAAATTTGAAAAATTATTGTGTATGTGTTTATTCATTTTGATTAGCTCTCAAATATTTTTTTCAAAAACTAAACATATATGAAATATACTATTTTATAATTCCTGAATAATTTACTTTGAAGACAGTGTATCATCAATTAAATGAACATGGAAGTTTGCAGAGTGCAGCTTCACAAGAATTTGCAGAACAATCTACTGAGAAATTGCAAATAATTAAAAATTCTGAAAGTAATCTTGAAGCCGAGGAAGAAATTGAGAAATTAGAAAAGTACTATACTTCTATGGAAGATTTACAAAATGAAGTGCAAGAAATACAAGAATTATTTACAGAATTGAATTCTGTTGTCCATAGACAAGGTGAACATGTCAACGTTGTAGAGAATAATATTGAAAATGCTCAAGAAAATATAAATCAGGGAGCAAGGTATATAAATATTATTAATATATATATATATATATATATATATATATATATTATAACATGACATGTTTTATGTCTATATTATAATGAATAAACATATTACCTTAGGCACCTTGCTCTCGCTGCCAAATTCAAACCTGCCTTTTATCCATTAGCAGGTGCCGTAATTGGCACTTGTGTTGGTGGTCCTATTGGCCTAATTGCTGGTTTCAAAGTTGGTGGAGCAGCAGCAATGGGATGTGGAGTATTAGGATTCACTGGAGGCCAAATACTAAAAAAAAGAAAACATACAATTATGCAAGATGTTGACAAAAAACAGCAATGATTTATGGTGGAGCAAAAATCATTAAAAATGTGGAGAAACAAATCTTTTTTATAAAATAAAAACTAATGTGATCATTGGAATATCATAATTTTTGTACACTAATTTATGTTTAAATGCAAAGAATATTAATAGAAAAATAAATTATTTATGAAATAGTATATTTGTTTAGATTTTGCATACCTCTACCTCTTACTTCAGTAGTGTATTAATTTTTTGCGGTACCGGTTGGGATTTTGATACTTCTTCTTCATTATTCAGGATCATTTGTTCAACTTTGACTGAAGAGTTCATGTCGAATTCAAGTACAACCCTTTCAAATTTTTCCATAAGGAAAGAAACTTGTTAGTTGCATAAAGTTTAGATAATATTTCAAAGAAAAACTATGTGTATACTTGATTTATAGTTTTATTGAAGTTAGAAGACTTTAAAACAAAAACATATCAAAGACATTGTTCCCTCTGATATAATTATTTAGCATAAACAAAAACAGATTTTTTTTAAACAACTTCTAGAAGCTATGTAGTCACAACTACATAAATAACATGTTATTACATTTTTAAGTAAATTGATTTTTTCAATAGAAAAATATATCCATAAATTCGATATGTGCTGTGATATAAGAAATTGCGTAGAATTTTTTCACCATTCTACTAGAGTTCACTGAGTCTGATAATTGTCGAACAGACTGCTGTACATTTTAATAGGATTTTAATAGGAACTATGTTCATCGAGGTATAATAAGTCCACATAACATGTTCCCACCGGTGGACACGCTGTCCGGTATAGCGCAGTAATTGGAGAGAAAAAAGAGTGTAACCTCTGAATTTTTTTTACTGTACTCTGATTTGCATAAAGTTTTGGAAATAGGCTAATCTTACACTTAAGTTCGAAAGTAAAAACAATTTGCACTCCGCCACCACCCCCGGGGGGTGGGGGCTTAATACCAACGCTACCCGCCATGGTCCCTTTATGTATAAATTGACATAGAGCTATTTAATCGCAAGAAAACGTATTTCTACAACTCTAAAGTGTTTTCTAATACATTTACCTTACAATAAATTTTTTTTTAATCCCTTGGATATCCTACAACCCTTGCGAATGACCTTTGAGTTAAAAAACACCTATAGGTATATTTTTATAAAAATTTATTTTGGTATGACCTAAAATCACAATTTGACAAAAATGCGATTAGTTTTTGGGTCATAACTCCTTTAATTCTGTCTCCATCTCAATTTGTAATACACCATTGGGAAGGTAATTAGAAGGGCTGTTTTTATTATAATTTTTTGCGTAGCCCTACTAATTTTGAAACGGCGGCCGCTTACTCTTTAAACAATCATAACTCTGTCAATTTTTGGGTGAAAAAAAATAATACAAAACATAATAATAAAAAGACCTCTAATCTCTCTATCTTTTATTTTTTGAGATATAATGAAAATAATTTGGATTTTTAACAATATCGAAAAAAATATTTTCATAAATTTGTGAGTTTTCTAAAAATAGTTTGTACTAAAGTAGTGAATCTACTAGAATTCATCAAGATCTCTATTATGAAGTTAATTCTAGATGGAATGTGAATAATTATGATTTTGGTGGAAATGGTGCTCATTTAATCATATGATTGCAATGAAAGAAACATTGTATGTGCCTTTTATTTGCATCATTTTACAAGCCAAAAACTTGTAATAGCACTCATTTTAAGACTTATTTTGAGTACTATAAAACCCCATTCCACCGGAATGTATAAAATGTAATACCTCGCCGTTAGAAGGCTTTGAATACAACAAAAAGAAAACGACTTTGCTCTTTGCTTCCTAAAACACTGTATAAAATGCCAAATTACTAAGATTTTAATTGACATAATTTTTTTCATTACATGATTCTCGTTGAAAGGTATATTTTTGAAGATATTTGCAAAAAAAAACAAAAAAACCGCCAAAAATGTATGAAAATTATGATAGTTCTCCTATCGATATCCGACGTTATTTTGGAAAAATAAAATTACACTATTGAGGGGTGTCATCCCCACGCGTAGTGGTGGCGGGGTCTAAATTGTTTTCACTTTTGTTTTTGAGGATAAGATGATCATAATTCCAAAGTCTCGTGCAAATCGGAGCACAGTAAAAAAGTTGAGGCCCAAAACGCACCATTGATTGGAGTAGTAATTTATGTTTATTTGTCTATAGTAGTAGTGTAGTTGCGTTGTGATCCACCGGTGGGCATGCAGTCTTCAACGTAATTATGAAGAAGATGGCATGACTTCCCAAAGACTTTTTATTGTATATCCATTTCTTGGAGTTTCTATGGCCAAACCCAAATCCTTGCTGTAAATTGGAACGCGATCAACAGAATGTTCTCCTTCGGCTATGTACGTAGTTAATGTAGATGGAGTATCTTTAGATTTATCTAATTCCTGTACGTCTTCAAAATTTGGATCAGCAGGCGGTGGACTAAAAACCTATAAATTAATACCGTTTCAATTAATTTCTAATAATAATATACTTATATGTTATTTAAGTATACGTTATACTTTACTTGATCTTTCAATGAATACTCTACACCAAATATAGGGTTTTGGCTATATACAGAGTGAAGTGAAATTAATTCTTTATAGACTGCTCCAAGTCTATCCTCTGGATCAATTCTGAATCCTAATAAATATCCTCCACTCTGCTCCGAAACGATAATGACTAAGGCTGGACCAAATTTACTATCGCGGACTTGGATCTAATTATAAATAGATACTATTAGATTTGATATCAACACATTATATCCATTTACAATTAATTTATTACCGTAACTATTTGCATATATGGTAATGTGATATTGAAGCATTCGTTAAGATCGGCATACCAAACTATTCTAATGTTTGTTATTAGAATTGTTCCTAAATTACCCTGGTCGCTCGAAAGATTCCAAACACCATTTACTTTTTGATACACTTGCTCATTTTTTAAGACTGATAGAGCTCCACTATTTAGAATGGACGCTCTTAATTTCAAGTCTCTGTACATTTTTGTCGACGTGTAGGCTCTTAATAATGGTTAATGGTTAATGGATTAATAATAATAATAATAATAATAATTTTACACCTATGTATATAATATATTACATTAGGGAACGAATTCATTAAATTTAAGCGATATTTTGAGACAATTTATATATTTATAAATCCAAGTTCTGTTCTATATTTCCCAGTTTCTATAATTTCCCACTTAAAATAATTAGATTGAGCATGCAGCTGTTTCAATTAAACATTTTGTTTTGTTTTTTAATTTTAATTTTTGTTTTAATTATGATGTGCTAAAACTCGGATTGATGAATCATTGAATTTTCGATTAATGAAGATAAACCATCATTTATTTAAGCGTTAACAAATCACATTTTAAACTTAAACCATGAATGAATTTATGCTTGGAAGCATTTTAACCAGGTACGGATGCTTTACCCAAGGATGGAAAGTGTAAGAAAACAGTCTATTTTTATGTTGGATACAAATGTGAAAACAAAAGGAAATTAAATCGAACCAAGAAATTAGGAAGAAAATGCAGGAATGCAACGTGGACTAAAAATTGTGAAAATATGTACTCTCACACCATGACTTTGATCATGAGTTATCATTCTTTAAAAAATTAAAATTATTTAACTTACTTATGAACACCAATCACTAAAGAAAAATGTTTTTTGTCCAATAAACTAATATCTGTAAAAATAAATTCAAATTTGGAAGACCCATTAGCAGCCATTATATGCAGAGCATCTGTCGTTGCTCTTAGTTTAGATATAACTGTTTTGATACTCATGTTAATTATGCAGTTATATCCTATAGCTGCAATTAAATAGAACGAATTAATTAATTAAGCAAAAACTAATTCTGAGCATTATATACACCAAAAGGCTCACTCAAATTAACACGAGGTGTAGAATGAGAATGCCACATTAATCTGATATTTGTTATTAACAAACGTCCCTTATCTCCGCTATTTCCTTTAGAATCTTCAACAGCATCCATTCGATCTACCAATTTTTCACCGGATCTTAATTTAAGAATGCTGTGGAAATGTCCAAAATATTATGTTACAAAAGTATAATATAATTCCAATTCTAGTAATTTAAATAATATCAATAAAAAGAAGACTATTATGAATAGTAATAAAAATGCTCTGTGCGTAATAGTCCAATGGTTATAATCATTTTTTCATTGAGATTGTTGATTATTTGAAATTAATAAATTAAATGTCAGTTTTTATTTTAACGACTTTGAAAGTAATACATATTAATTAATTAGTATTAAATAAAAATATACGATGTAGGCGGTAGAGCGCGAATATCTATCTTACTTACGAGTAGGGAATGTCAAAACGAATTTCTCTATCCTCCCAAACTAATGCAAATTCAGTCATTTTATACAAGTATAATTATTGTTAAATATTATTTTAAGAATGTCAATTGACCCTCAAAAATACAAAATATTGTTACCTTGCCAACCGATAATCTAAACATTATTTGCGCATGCTCTCTTGCTTTGAAAAGTTTACGCATTTATGAACTTGTTCGTTGTTCATCAATTGTGTCGATGAATTTTTGTTAAACATCATAATTCTTTCTAAAATTTTTAAAAGTTTTATAACTGGAATAATTTTTGCATATATTGTTACTTGATTTTGGCAATTTATAATATTTTTGTTAACATATAGGCGAATCAAGTAATAATAACAATTGTATTGTATTATTATATATATTCGTAAATATTATTTTCTCAATATAAAAAGCAAATGTATAACAAATCAAATAAATTATTGAAAATTAAATCAAACTTCATTATAAAATTAAAACTGTCAATTCAACATATATCCTAATACTAAAATGTAAGTAAGTATTACAAAATTGTAAAAAAATACTTATTTTATGTGGATTTTTTATGTGGAAATATGAAAAATAATGTTATTATACTCTGAAATGTTTTGCTATCATTATTTTTCATTAAATTTTTCATCAAAATTTTGATAATAATAATTTTACTAGCGATTAAATGAAAATATATTGAAATGAAGATATATTCTTCCGCAATATATCCTGTTTGTAATATATATCTAATATAAATATATATCTAATATCCGTCAGAAACTTTCCTTCTCCGTTTTGCTAGTGGCTCCTTATTAGCATTCACAGACGACATTTGCGGAACATCAGACTCGTTTGTTGGTTTTCTTTTAGGCGCAGCACCACCTAAAAAAAATTATAAGTATATAATAAAAAAATAGTATCACAAATTTAAATTCTTATTTTCCTAATTAGTAAGATTTTATTACGAATAATTGGATAACTGAACTTATTATTGTAATTATTATCATTAATTATTTATTTAATAAATACTTAGTTGACTTTTTCATTGAAATGCTGACACTTAACTGTAATTTGAAAACAGATTGATTAGCTCGTATTTTTAAATATTTGCAGACCTATTGAGGTAATTAGAAAATGTTAACATTTTCTATGATATCTTCTTAATGATTGATTTATTTAGTGTAATAACAGAATTTTTATAGATAAGTTTCAAGATAAAATTTTTACATATCTCATAAACACCGTTTCACACCTTTGCGAAAAAAACAATTTGAAATTTGCAATCCAAAATACATATTTTTGTAAGGAACGGACAAACAAACGGGTATAACGTGAGATATTATATATTACCCGGTATATCACGAAGAGAGTTATCAACACATGAGTCCGTATTTTTTGCTGTTTCTGAAAGTTCGCCATCTCGAAAATATTGTTTCAAAAAAGGAGCGAGGGCCCTCTTCTTGACTGTTCTTTTGACCCTGTAGTTTAACAAACAATATATTAATGAATAATTACATATAATAAATTTAATACAAAGAATTTGTATTATTATTTGTATTACGTCATTGATTGTTGTTTTGGTGAAACTGGTCTAAGAATTCCGAATTGATCAATTCGAGCGAATAATTCACGATGAAAATTTTCAGGAATCCCAAGCTCTCGTACCATCCCATCTAAAGAGAATTGAACACGATCTTTGCAGAAAGCCAATATTCTTCGCAAAAAGGCTAAAACTTGAAAACAATACATATTATAGATACTTATAGAAGAAATTATATAATTATTATTCTATTATTTCACTTTTTTTTATTAATTTTTACTTACGTCTCAATTTTTTTTTATTATACACATTTTTTCAAAATCTAGATAGAACTATATCATTGTTCAATATAAATACTCACGATTCTATCACGTTTGCTAGTTAGTGCCATAATCATTTCATCGTTACAAATACGCGAATGATTATCATTGCAAATGCAACAGATGTGGACATAGTCTGCCGGAAGACGCGATAGGAATCCATAGCAAGCTCCGTGGCTCCAAAAATTGCACCCACAACATAATATCTAAAGTTTGAAGTAATAAAATAAATTCTTATGACAAAAATCATAAAAAGGGGTTCTTTAGAATTATTAATAGTTTTAGGTTAATAATGGATGAAAAGTTTTTTATCTGTCCGGAAAGAGGTTTATATTATTTATAATACCTTATAAGCAATGCTTAAAAGACTACGAGTAAAAAGATTCACCAGCATTATCTCAAAAACAAGTAAAGTATGGAATATTTTGATGAAACTATGTTAAAGTAGAAAACATAAGTTGTGTAATCTGCCATCAATTGGTAATTATTTCTAAAGATGTAAATAATAAAAAAATAGTAAATACAAAAATAAATTAAGTTAAAATAAGCAATTTTACAAGAGATAAATCAAATTATTAGTTACTATGATTATAATTATTTTGGGCAAAATCAGGGTTATATACAATGTGTTCTATGTAAAAACGCCCATGAAATTTATATTTGTCATTAGTTGAATAATGGAGAATTTAACTGTGCAATATACCTCTAGCATTGAAAATAAGACATTGGAAACATATTTTTATAATTAGGGAATAGTTAACTGGAAATTTTACTAATCGTGATTTAATAGTTGAGGGTTGTGATAGAGTTCTTTTGGTTTAGAAGACAGTACAATTACTGTCAATCAAATTAAAACTTTGTGTCCCGACGCACTCTGTATAAAATCATTAATCTATTTAAAAAATAATTCAATAAAATAAAAATTAAAAAATGATCAGCTTAAAATAATATAAAATAGCTTTTAATAAAAGACAATTTGCTGCTATAAATAATAATAGTACCTTTTTTGTTGAACTTAAAAAATTAAAAACTACTTGTTTTTTTACTAAAGTTTCTCAAAATATTTTAGATATTAGTGAAAAATGCAAAAATTCAGCACATTGAATTAAGTAATTTAAACTCACCATAACAGCGTGCTCATCATTGTTTTCGCAAACGCATAATATTTTCACATCTTCATATATGTTATCGCTATCTATAGTTATAAAGAAAGTTAATAATTATTTAAACCATAACATAAGCCAATATTATAACAATTTGTCCAATATTTCAACGAATCTAATATTTTTGAACAAATTTTTATTTTCAAATATAGAGAAGCATAGATAATTATTAACCACCATCAAATCATATTATAAACTTCGTACCTTTGTCATTATCCATGACGACATCTGAAGAAGTAGCTTTATTTTTATTATCATAGGTATAATTGGTATCCATAGGAGACTTCTGCACGTCCCGCTCTACAATATTAATTGTTTTATTATGGAACTGTGTTAGATTAGTAGCTTTGCTGACTACTGATGGAATCATTGAGCAAGAATTTGCATAGATCGGTCGGGGTTGGCGATTTGTAACCGGAGAAAACATCTACAAATATATATAATATGCATAAATATCAAAATTGGCGTATTTCCTATCTAGCATTTCTAAACTATATATCAATTATTTTTTAACTATATCAATAAACATGAGAAAGGAAATGAAATTAAAAACTCCAATTTCTTATTAAAATGCTGCCATATATGTAAAATTTTTATTTGGCACATCATTCTTGATTATACGAATAATTGATAGTATCTCAATACCTTTAATTTGAAATCATCTCGCCAAGAAGTTATATAACTACGTTTTTGAGCACAAAATGTAAAACAGTGCTTTACATAGAGAATATTATCACTTGAATGAATTGATTTATTTAATGATGATGAAATATTTGTTTTTCATTGCAAACATATTATTATTATCATATACTAAATATATTACTCACTGAATATTAATTATTTTTAGTTATATTTTATTATATTAGTTACATATATAGTATATATATATGTACCTATTTATCTAAAAATAAACTTAAAATCACAAAATATATTGTAATACCAAAACTTAATGTTTGAGAAATGTCATTTTTGAATTTCATTAAAAATTTGCAAATTTATGTGGTTACAAAATTAAAGCAAATATATGCTTACCACAGCATCAAGAGAAGTATCATGATAAATACCCATATCTTCAGTCATTGTATTTAACTGCATCATAACTTCTGGACTTTTAGATCCACCAATGCCTGTCATATTCTGAAATATATTTATTATTGCATCAAGTTTTTAACTTCCCGTAGGGTAAGTTATAGTAATCGCAAAAAAATCGAAAATGAAAATTTTTATATATCTTTACGTTTCAGAGGTTTCTGAATATTTTGGCATACCTTAGAAAAAAATGGATGTATGTGTGTGTGTGTGTGCGTAGTATGTATGTGTGTGCGGATACAAATTTTCGTCGACGATTTCGGAAACACGGATGAAGCAATTGAAATAATTTAAAAAACATTCGATCCGTATTGATAAGGAGACGTGCTGATTAGTTTTTGGTGGAGGTAGGTCTAGCCGTTCCAAAGATATGGGGCAAAAAGTGCCAAAAACGGTACCGCAGTTTTTAATAGAACGGAGCGTCCGATTTTTAATAATTCAAAAAACATTTTACTTGTAATGTCAAGATGAAGATTTGATCAAATTTTTATAAGGGCAGGTTTAGCGGTTTCGGATATCTAACAAAAAAAGTAAAAAAAAATGCCATTTGGCGGTCAAAAATGATCATTAGACATATGCACATCAAATTATCAGATATTTTTTAGAGATTTCAACAATAAGTATAAATTTTGTTTACATTCCTATGGGTTCCGTACCAATGTTTACCCGTTAGACAGCGACGCGGCGCTTACGCGCTTTATATTCTGTCTCTATGCATTTAAAGCAGTAACAATAAAGAAAACATTTTTTTTTCAAAAAAAAGATTTAAAAAAAAAATTAAATAATTTTTTTTTTCAATTTTTTTTTTTCAAAAAAAAGTAATTTTTTGTCAAATTTATAGTTTCTCAAAAATCTTATTTTTTCGAAGTAATTTTTTTTCAAAAATGTTGATCGTTTTAAAAAAAATAATAATTTTTGGTACGGGAAGTTCCAGCAATTTGCCTTAAGGCACGATGCTCTAATTGCCTTAAGACAGAATTCCACTTACAGCTAGTTATAGAATATATTAACTATAATTGTAAATTTTGACTAAAAAAAAAACACTCACAGCGGCCTCCGACGTGTTGCATATATTTTCTGTTTGAGAGTTTTCCACAACTTCACAATTTTCATTTGTCTGTTTACCAGCATCCGAGGTATGAATATCTACATCTACAAACTAAACAAAATATTTATTGAAAATATTAAAACACTAAAACAGTAATGTAATTCAGAAATTGAAGAACTTTTGCAATGAAAGCTATATAGCTATAATATTTTTAAAATTAATTACCTTAGCAATCGCTCCCATACTAATAGAGTGGTATGGCGTGTAGCATTTACCAACTTCTATGTTATAAAGATCTGGTGGATACTCAAATGCTTGATATGAGCAAGCCTTAAAACCAGGTGGTTGATACTCATCAGGAGTTCCTATTAAAAAAATAGATTTTAAAGTTCGAGAGTTTTAAATAAAAATAAATACTAAATAAATATATAACAATTTACCATCATAGTATGTTAACATCATGGCTAATGAGCAACCCTTCGGTAATTCTGGCATATTTTTTACAATTTCTAAGCAATTGTATAAACAATCGAAGATATCACTTTCAAGTGTTTTTGCAGATATTTTGGATGAGTCGATCTTTATGAGTCCTTAAATAAAATAATAAATTTTACAACTATTTTTTTTTATTATTACATATATTCACATATATTCATGAATATTGTATCATTTTTTATGTTCTAAATAGATGTATTTTATAAAAAAATACTATTACTTCTTACAAATACTAAAATAATTCACATAATTAACTAATAATTTGAGCAATATATTAAACATTTTTCTTTGGTACCAATTTTTTGAATCGCAAAAAGTAAGTGACTTTATTTTTAAATATTTGCTAGAAGTAATAAATATTAAATACATGTAGTGTGTGTACTACAAGATTTATGTTATATTAAAATATTAATAGAATGCAGATCAGTAAATTCTTTTATTTTTAAAGTAACTCAACTTAAATTCTCTTAAAAAGTAATTATATTGCATTATATATTGGTTACAAAAAAATTTAAAAGCGCCCATTACAATAACTCACGAAATTGAATATTAACAAGAAAAGAATTTTGTCTTTTGTATATATATATATATATATATATATATATATAACTATATCTAAAAAACATTTTTAAAATTTTTGAATTTTTTTCATGCTAATTCCATACGAAACTTTGATTTAATTGCGCACTATCTAAAAGTTAATATTAAAAGCTAAAATTTTTTTTATCAATTTGAGCCCCTGGGAGCAAGAAAATTCGAAAATGTTCATAATAAGGACCACCCTAATGTATATTTATATTTTCATTTGATGTTAACATATGTATTAACAAAGTCTCATAACTCAAAAGGCAAAAGCTCAGATATCAAAGGGCATAAATCAATAAAAAACTAATTTTTCTTAAAAATTCATTTTACAATCAGGGCAAGATATAACATATATTATGTGTACTAAGTTTACAGATAACACATATATTGCACATTTACTATTTGTGATATTTTTATTGTTAGTATTCTGTGAAATATTATATTAGTTACAATATTAATGTCTATATTTCTCATTGTTAGTGTAGTGCATTACCATATTCTGATACCATGGATTACTGAAGTTTCTGTTTTTAACTCTAAGATTATCGCCAATACGTATGGATTGTAAAATATTTTTTTTTTAAATTATGGTTTTTTATTGATGGTATGCGCGATTATTATGATTACAATACTCCAAATAATATATTAACAAAAAAAAATTAATACCCACTTATATGTATATATAATAAATTTTAATTCTTACCGGCTATTGGCGAACGTTGTATTACTTTCAAAATTGCAAGCGTCACTATATTTTATTCTAAACGTATAACTCTCCAACGCTTTACCAATGTCTTCTTGTCCGGGCGGTTGTACAGCGACAATGATGTCTCGCAACTTCAATAGATTATAAAACCAAATTATATTTTGCGACATATACACATTATACATATACAATATATAATTACATATCCTTTTTTCATTGCATCAAAGCATCCTTTAACCCACTTAAGAAATCTCGTTATTTTTGGGTCCGATTTGACATTTTGCAACATATGCATCGTCAAGGTTCCAATTTTACGAGGGCGAAAATATTCCTTTGAATAAATCTTTCGCAGATAACATATAGCACTAATTGAAACTGCAAATAACTGTCTAGTTAAGGTCATAGAATTAGTTTCCGATTTGAAAGCTAGTTCAGGCTTCACGAGTATATTTGTGGTATTCTGTGAAAAAACGAAAAGTATTTGAAACATTTGTAGAAATAGCTTTATGAATGCACAATAAAATAAAAACTTTACTAGACAATCGACTTCCGTTTGGGATCCTTTTAATAACGTTTTAGTACTCATTTTTAACGTTTGTTAATAACTTTGAAACACACTTCGAAACAACTGTACGCAAAATGGCGATTACGTTGTACATCTCTCGGCGCACCAGAAAATCTAAGCAGTGCAACCAACGAAATAAATGAATAATATAAAATTGACATGTATGTTCTTTTACTAACTTCTCGAATGATAAAAATTCAAACACGGTTTTAGTTTTTTTATTGACAAGTCGCGATTAGGTAACCACACAATTAATTTTTTGTCGTTTTTAATCAGAAACTTCGATTGATTTTGTAAATTATAATTTTTTAATTGATTCGATCTTTTTCCTTGTCATTGGATTGTATTAATTAACTTGTTGTAAAAACTATAAATTGTTCGTTTTAATTCATTTACAAATTTAACAGATTTGAACTATGTATTTCCATAAAAAATAATTATCTGCTTATATTATAAAAAAAAATGATGCGTGTGATAACATTTATTTCTTTTCATAATGTTATCAAAAAGTAATGTACTATAGGTATTATAGGTAATTATCAAAATTTAAATATTGGTGCTTATTGTAAAGAAGTTAAAATATAAACCAAACATAAATTTATTAGACATATAAAATAACTAGTGGTGTAATCGAAGATACTACTTTCAAGTGTTTTTGAAGATATTTTGGAAATTTCACAACTAAAGCTTCCATTAGAATACCTATACAAATATAAGAAATATAAATATAATATAAGTATAAAACTAGTGGTGTATGGCCTTAAGGCAAATTGCTGGAACTTTCCGTACCGTAACGAAATGTTCAAAGAATCTGAAATGTTTTCAAATAGATTATTATAAATACCTACTGTTACATTGTTTAACATTTATAAGAATTATATAAACTGAATTGCAAAGTTGAAATTATTTGTTTAAAGTATATTAGAACTTTAGTCAGAATCAAATCAGAATCGAATCATTTGGCGGTCAAAAATGATCATTAGACATATGAACATCAAATATAGATATTTGATAGAGATTTTAACAATAATTATAAATTTTGTTTACATTCCTATGAGTTCCGTACCAATGTTAATCCGTTAGAGGGCGACGCGGCGCTTACGCACTTCGATATTTCGTCTCTATGCAGCAGTACCAAAATATTTCAAAACTAGCTGTAAGTGGAATTCTGTCTTAAGGCAATTAAGGCATCGTGCCTTAAGGCAAATTGCTGGAACTTCCCGTACCAAAAATTATTATTTTTTTATAAACAATTAACATTTTTGAAAAAATTTTACTTCGAAAAAATAAGATTTTTGAGAAACTATAAATTGGACAAAAAAATACTTTTTTTTGAAAAAAAAATGTTTTCTTTATTTTGACATATTTTGGAAGATCTGAAAACAATCGTACTGCTTTAACTGCATAGAGATAAAATATAAAGCTCGTAAGTGCCGCGTCGCTGTCTAACGGATAAACATTGGTACGGAACCCATAGAAATGTGAACAAAATTTATACTTATTGTTAAAATCTCTATAAAATATCTAATAATTTGATGTGCATATGTCTAATGATCATTTTTGACCGCCAAATAGCATTTTTTTTTAACTTTTTTTGTTAGATCTCCGAAACCGCTAGACCTGCCCTTATGCAAATTTGATCAGTTCTTCATCTTGTCAATACAAGTAAAATGTTTTTTGAATTATTAAAATTGGACGCTCCGTTCTCTTAAAAACTGAGGTACCGTTTTTGGCACTTTTTGCCCCATATCTTCGGAACGGCTAAACCTGCCTCCGCCAAAAACTAATCAGCACGTCTCCTTATCAATACAAATCGAATGTTCATTTGAATTGTTTGAATTGCTTCATCCGTGTTCCCGAAATCGTCGATGAAAATTTGTATACGCACACACACACATACACGCACATACACACACACATACATACACACACACACATACATCCATTTTTTTATAAGGGCAGGGCCCTTATACCGTCTCAGTGCTATAAGAATTGCTTGCGCATTTCGCACAATATCGGCGGAAGCAGTGTGCGTCATTTCAGGAACTGTGCCTCTCTTAGTCTTAGCAGAGGAAAGACGGACAATTTACCATAGAAGACATCAACAACTGAGTCCTGGATTAGAAGAACGGCAGAGCAGCATTGACCGATGGCAGCGACTGTGGGATGTCGCTGTAAAGGGCAGATGAACGCATCGTCTCATTCCTAACATCAAAGTCTGGCTAAGTCGCAAGCACGGCGAAGTAAACTATTATACTACGCAAATGCTATCGGGACACGGCTGTTTCGAGCCTACCTACACCAATTCAAGCACGATAGCTCGCCGGATTGCCCATATTGTTTGGGCGAAATCGAAGATTGCTGAGCACGTGTTTCTTCGTGTGTCCGCGATTTGGTGCTCTACGGGATGATGTGG